CGCATTGGCCCAGAGCATCTATGCACCAAGTTCCATCAAAAACCGATGTATAGTTCTTGAGATATTAGTGGAACAGACGGACACACACACACACATACATACAGACAGATACACTAACTGCAAAGACTTCCATTGTAAAAAGGAAAAAAAATCAATGGACCCTCTCTTTATTCATTTGTTAAAAGAGGGTACTCCTTTAGAAAAAATAAAAAAAAAGTAAAACCTCTATATATATATATATATATATATATATATATTCATGTATTTTTATTGATCTTTTACATGTATATATTAAGAAACAAAAATACTTGTGAAAATTATTTAGTGAGAGGAGAACTTCAGTCTGTCTGATTTGTGGATATATCTTTATCAGGTAAAATGTTTTACTATAAACAGTTGAGATAAAACTGTCGCCTTGTAAAAGCATTTTGATAAATAAACACTACTACAAGCAATCCACTATGCATTACTTTTTCGGCATATTTCATTTCTGCGAAGTAAAAATACACAAATTGACATATAATATTTTAAAATTTATACTAGTAGACTCACGGTGAGTGGCTTTCGCGGTAAGTGGGTTTCATATCTGGTGGGTTTCGTGGGGAGTAGCACTTTTGTCATAGTAACTAGTCCTTTCATCCTTGTTGAGAATTAAAGTTTTATGTTTCTTTAACAACTGGCACTATTCTGGGAATACCTTCCTGGCAGGAGTTCCGAAATAAGACTTATGCTCTGATAATGCCTCTAGTTTAAAAGAGCAATAAACATTACCATTATGATCTTATTGGTGTTGCATAAGATAGTTGAATATTTTTTATTGAAATTAATAATAACTCCCATAACCGTTTTTCAAATATAGATAAATTGAAGGACGTAACAAACTGTATAACTCAGTCTCAACAATGAAATAAAGGGATGTATATATATACTTACATTATTACTAATGTATTGCAATACAACTAATTCAAATTGAAAGAAATTGCAATATAAAATATTCTATCAGTAATACTTCTCAAAAGCATATTTCGTGGTCAGTGTTATTTACGAAAATATTTGTTTATAATTTTATAAACTTGCTTGGCAATACCAACTCCAATTAGATATGATGTGTACATATTTTAATAAATAAAAATATACTAACAAAAATGAAATATTAATTATTTCATATTTTATTATATAACCTGCACAAAAGTAGTCAATATTTTTCCTTGCTAGAATGATGTGTAACTTCATACGGGAATCCTGATAAAGTTCACAACTGGCGTGAATTTGATTACCTAACGTTTTTAGGTTCATGCGCTGCAAGTTACAGAGCACGTACCTAAGCGGCCGTCCCCCAGCAAATAATTAAGCCAAGGCGGTTTCGATATCAAAATCGAGAAACTCTCCATTTTTACACAATCTGGGAAGTTTGAATTATTGAATGAAGTACAGGACGACGAAGCTTAAATATCCAAGAATCAACACTCACCAAAAATTATATCTCAAAAGTGAATATTCGTGGTGTATTTTAGGTCTATCTGGACCGAAAGCGAAAATTTTTTAGTACTCTAAATATCCAAACATATTTTAGTATAAGGTAGTAATTAACAGTTCTACTCACTTGCCTGAAAAAAGTCCATGTTATAAATTAGAACAGTCTCTTCAATGAACTAGGTTATGCACCCAAGGCCAACAAATCTATCCTCATGTTATTGATTGTATTGACCTTTTTTCAGGGTGAGCCATTTTAATAAATTTTGTGTGTAATCTGACTGTTTTGACAATACTGGACTAAGTGTTGGTTATTAGTTGATAAAAAAGAAGTAAAGTAAAAAAAAACTGTCTTAATCTTTAAGAGAAATATATATAATGTGTAGTGGAGGTTGATTCAATCCAGTACTGTCCAAGTGCATACTTTTCAGTCTTCTCATGATAACCTTATTGTTATATATCTTTCCTGCTTGAAATCATAATTTAGCAAGATATAAAAGTATTCGTGTTCGTACAATGGTTTGGCATTCTGTGACATGACTGTTTCAATACATCCTGCGTCTAATGTATACAAAAAAGTGTTGGAATGGGAGATAAATATACTGTAAATTTTTCAACTAAGACATTCAAACACATAACATGTTATAGTTTTATTGTATGCAATAAGAATCTTATTTCCACTTACTTCGTTCCAAAACACATGCTGCAAATAACGTTCGCTACCATTAGCATAATCAGGTCGTCCATCTCTGTTTGCAATGAACTCTCAAACTTGTGGAAAGGTTTCTTCGTGAATGTACTGTTCCAGCTGGTCTGGCTTGGCAAATGCCTATTAAAAAGACATATAGGGTAATTATGGTAATTCGTTCCAAAACACATGCTGCAAATAACGTTCGCTACCATTAGCATAATCAGGTCGTCCATCTCTGTTTGCAATGAACTCTCAAA